GAATAAAAAAGAATACCCAAGTAGATGTAACTCTTAATCCCACTTGTTTATGTGCCTGATCATTTACATGTAGGGTAGCCCAAGTGCTTTGAAAATGGAGAATTCTTTGTAGGGGAAGGAGTGGTTCTCATTCCATGCTTCAACTCCAGCATAGAAGTAAAGGGCCAGACTAGAAAAGAAATAAAACAACCCTAAGACCAGAGACTAACACTGTTTCCCATGGTATGGGCACACTATTGTAGAAATCAGTGATGGGTTTTTTTCTCAGCCCTGTTTAATGATTGGGTGATCAATTTGGGGCCTTTTGCACAGGGGGCTATCTGAGCCATATCCAAAAACACGAGGGAGTTCCTGGAAACTTGGCATTCAGACAAGTTAGCCTTCAATAGACACATAGAAATAAACCATATTTACACACCATTCAAAAGAGACAATAAAAAAGATAAGGAAACAAAAAGACCAGAACACATCCTCTCCAGCAACCAACACCCAGATAAGCAGGGATTAATACCAGACAAACAAACAAGCAGAAAACAATACCCTAGTCAAGGAACTGCCAAGGAGAAAACCACATCCCGACCAACACTGGCAGGGCAAGCTACTGTATAGAAATGGAGCAAACCCCACACTCACTTGCACTGATGATGTTACCTAGTTGGAAAATGAAATGTCTGCAAGCAACTAAGCTCAGAAAGCACCAAGGACTCCAGAGGGCTGTCTGTGCAACCCCAAACCACTTGTGATGTGACTTTCACACTAACATTCTGCTTTCTTCAGTGCTTTCAGTTGCTGCAGGATTCACAGATTTGCTGTAAGCTGCAGTTTGTAATCATGTTTTTGAATAAGCCAAACTGATATAGCAACACACAATAAAATTTAAGATTTTAATATGCAGTGGCTGAGTTTGGAAATTGTAAATACGCTAAAACCAAAGCAGTCTCATTCTGGCTTTGCATAACATACAAATCCAGCTGTTATCCGCCTCCATTTAATGAACATTCATTCATTTGCTTGTGTTAGCAAGTCCATGGCTTGTCTTAAGATATTGGACCTTCTCAAGATTTGCTTCTATAGGGCAACTTCTAGGAATATTTATAAAAATATTGTAACATTTTTCCTGATGTGCTATTTTAAGATTTTAATGTCTTGTTGTCTTTTCTGACATCCAGAACAACTTTTAACTGGTTTCAAACAACACTCTCAAGTCAAACGAGAATCGTCATTCTATCTTAATCTCTTTGAGCAAAAGAAAAGCAGGAGGCTGGACAAATATTGTAGAAAGAACCAAGTAATAGGTTTTCACCACTGGAAACTCTGGGTAGCATAAGCTATGTTCACACAGCAGAGTTAAGCAGATCCAAGTGTGAGGTTCAGACCTGGAAACCCAGGCACTTTTAGGTTGGGAGGGGAGGCCAAACCCCATCAACCCCTACTGAGACGAGTTGATCAGCTTAACTTTTCAGGACTTGGTGTGGATTCAGCTGAGGTTACTTCTCTCTTTTGACCTTTGGCAGGAAAAGGGGCGGCTAAGCAGCTCCACAAAAATAGAGTGGCTCAGTGCTCAAAAGGCATTGCTTTAAACAAACCAAGGCTTCTCCTGCCTGTCCACTGGACCTCCAACCCTAACCAGGCCATTATAGATTTAAAAACAAAAAATCAGGAACAGAAAAAGAGGCCCAGAACCCATCAGCTACAAAGGCTGTTCCAAATTTAACTAGAGTAACTGTTTGTTGCTTTGGTGATCTGTTTATGAGTTTTGTCTTCTCCATCATTTTAAATTCAGCATCACCCTTTTGGATAAAATGATTTAATTGTATTTTCCCCTTGTTTCATACACATTTAATAAATTATGTTTGGTCGCACAGTCAGCCAGATGTTTCGACTGGCATTTTTATCCACCTATCAAGTCCTTCCCAAGGACCTGGGATAGGCAGATGTTCTTGGTTGATGATGTTAAAGGTATCATCGCAGGATATAAGCTGTTCCAAGTAAAGCTGCCTTTTGCAATTGACTGGTGGTGATTTTGTCAATGCTGATGGTCTCCAAGTTGTGCTCCAGATGTTTGGGGATTGCACCCAAGGCGCCTATTGCTATTGGTACTACCTTTGCTTTCTTTTGCCACAGTCGTTCTACTTCTATTTGCAGGTCTTTATATTTTGTGATTTTCTCCAGTTCTTTCTATTATTATAAGCTGTTCCAAGTAAAGCTGCCTTTTGCAATTGACTGGTGGTGATTTTGTCAATGCTGATGGTCTTCAAGTTGTGCTCCAGATGTTTGGGGATTGCACCCAAGGCGCCTATTGCTATTGGTACTACCTTTGCTTTCTTTTGCCACAGTCGTTCTACTTCTATTTGCAGGTCTTTATATTTTGTGATTTTCTCCAGTTCTTTCTATTATTATTATTATTATTATTATTATTATTATTATTATTATTATTATTATTATTATTATTATTATTA